AGAACCCCCGTCTACTTATTAAGAGAACACTATCTTTTATGAGAACTCCTTTTAAGTAAGTACACCTAGAATACAATTACATTGGAGTCCAAACACACTTTGTTTGCCAGAAGATGGTTGGTTGCTGGGATTCCCCGTTCGAAACCCACAAGTTAGCCACCTGTCGAGAAGAAAGACGGGGCTTTCTTTGGTCGGTCCTGGGTGGATCATGGTCATTGGGGTAAATGAGAAAACAGGATGAAGATGCAAGCAAAGCAGCAATCTTCCTTTTCTCCTTCTCGGCTTGCGCCTGCCAGGGCTAGTAGCTAATAAAGATATGTGAAGATGATCTCCCGCGGAGTCAGCAAAGCGAGGCCGGTAAAACATTGACATGTATGAACCGCGTCAACCACCGATTCCTTGACCCTCAAACCAACATTCTGGTCGGCCACCAGCATCAGAACCGTCATGCTCCCAACCACAAGAAGGCGTTTACGGTGTGATCGGATCTATTGGCCGATCCGGAAAATCCTTTGCCCGGAGGTCTGAGTGACCAACAAACGTTTGCCACAGGTTCTCCTCCACCACTTGCGACACAAAGAGACAACCACGACGCCTTTTTGACCACTAGGTGGCTTTGTCGACGCAGTTCATACGCAGTTCATGTAAATCAGCTTGAACAATTGACAAACAGAAACAGTTTGAGGATATTTGAGGCCGTCAGAGATCCAGGCCCAAAATGATGTCAACATCCACACCTTGGTGAGGTTCTTCAGCCGCTCCTGGAAGTAGAACTCCTGAACAACTCAAAATTCTTGAGTAGATGTTGCCTTACATGGAACCTCCGAGTGATCAAGCACTGGACACGAAGAACAAATCAGATCAAAGCAGTACTGGCATCTTCATGACTCCAGTGACTCCAGTCTTCTCAAAAAGAACTGTGAACCGCCAGCAGTTCGTTCGGACCGCCGACGGACCACACACCACACACCCATCGGTCGCGTGACGCCGGCGTGGCGGTGCTTGATCTTCACCGTTGGGCCGCTGGGATTGGTTTGAGGGATGCATCATGAATCGGCCGTGGGGTATGGTCGGGTGGGTGAGGCCTGATCAGACCTCATCAGGTGAGAAGTGAATTCTACCTGGAGCATCTAATGTGGAGGTCCCCAAGTACTATAAATACTAGTAGACTGTCGACACGCCTTGGTTTCGATGATCGTTGTACAAGGATACTTTTTTTTTTAGAAATATGGTATAATATGGTCCTATGATGGATGTCCCATGAACCTACCCTAAACCAGTGGGTATTCATGCGCTTTTCCGTTTGTCTCAAGGGTTTTGGGGTCCAAAAGCTGGTGGTTTCTCGGCCGAGTAAATCGAGGCTCCTCGATCTCTTTCTCATCCAATTTCTGGCTGTCCAGCTCTTTTTTGGCCTTTACTTCCTGCCCGCGTTCTTTCATGATTGATATCAGCCTAATGAAATCGAAAACCATGTTGACACACACTGCAAACAGGTTTTGATGACTCCTTTCTATAAAGTGACTGAATGTTGGGATGGGTCAAAACCTGGAGCCCTAGGACTAGATGATTCGCTTCACCTTTTATTACCAAACAGCTGGAATCCATTGATTCATTGAAGCCCAGAGGCTCATGGCGACCATCGGGGGCCAAACATTCGAGGTAGCACCTCTTCTTGGATCTTTTTCTGCTCGTCGAAGACATCCTCCATCGGCGGAAACAGTAGCCAAAATAGAGAGACTCTCACCCTTACCCTCACAACTCTGAAACTACAGTGATAATTTGTGGCGATTTGCCAAAGATCAACCTCTGCAATATTGTTATTTGTCAGTAACATGAACGCCCAACAGAGCACTGAAAGGAAGGGAAACACTGGTGAAGCCCGGGACTAAGTTGTACAACCAGGTCGATTCTATGGTATCACATAAATACCTATATTCTCAATTCTCGCTAAATGTTCTTATTTGTTCATGTTTGTTTCCAGGAAGTATGACATGTCTAGCTGATCATATCTTAATATATCTACAGTAACACCTGGATCAAACTCCCCAAAAGGAATCCAGAACTGGACAGGACATGTTTGTTCTTCCGATGTTCTTAAGCCAATGGCATGTTTGTCAGAACCAAAACATGGAGCGCTCACCTGGCTGAAACAATCTACCAAGCCCCCCATGTCCAAAGTATCAGTGCATATCAGTGCCACAAGGGACTATGTTACTATACTGTATTGACAAAAACAACCGAGATAATTGCTCGTTTAGTTGAGGTACGGGTGTGTTACCCTCCCATCAAGGAAGATTCCGAAATGTTGGCGCCTGCCAGGGTAACCCCCAAAGAGTCAGTCTCAATCCAGTGAAAAATGGCCCTGTAACAAGCATTGCTGATATAGATCACAAAACAAAAAGCCATGCTGCCATGTTGGCGTTGCCAGAATCAGTTCAGCCTGATTGCTGCTGATGTTCAAAGACATAAATTCTGCTGCTCCGCGTCCTTGTAGAAATCCCATGAGAGCACTTCACCTCAGGGCCAGTCTTGTGAAACAACTCATGTACCCAAACGCTCCTGGACCCTCATCGGGGTCTGGGGTCTGGGGTCTCAACTCCGGTCCCTCAAGTACGTCTGGATAGTGCTGACCCAGGGTGGTGGACACCATGCTGCATGGGTCTGTTGAGTCAGACTAAGAAGACTTCCATTTCAACCCGACTGTTTGGTCACGCCGACCCACCGACCTACCAGGTGCTGGCGACCGAAAAGCGGTCACCCCGCTGGCAGTCGGACAGTGACCCTTTCTGAAAAACAACGCGCCCCCCCCTGTGCTGAATCAAACCGCCACAATCATCCACAATCATCCACAATCTGTACTTAGCTTTTTTAGTGGCTCCGCTTGTAAGAAATCAGGAGCCTCGTTCCGGTCGGCCTACGTAGGGTTTCCCTTGTTCAACCATTGATGACCTATATGTAAAGGACGTGCTTTGCCTGGATTCGGTGAATCAGCCAAACACAACCGTCCGGACTGCAATGAACTGGGCTCAATCAAACACTGCCTTTCATGGATCTAAGTGCCAAACGTTTGAAGCCAACCAGGCTTGGCGTGGGGCGGCCTGCCTGAATTTTCCGTGTGGTCAAAGCTCAGACTTTCCAACGCAGGCATCGAGTTCGCAGTGGAAGAAAGCCAGGGACTTTGGTAGACATGTTCACAGATCTCTCATGCATTCCGAATACTGAATGATTGAACAGAACACATAGAAAGGCCATCGGACCCTGTACAGCTACCCATAAACCTTTTTCATGGTGAGGGGGTCCGTGTGAGTCTGGCTACCCACATCATGCTCGTCAATGCCCGTGATGTTCTGGAGATGTTCTGGTATTCTGCTGTATACTGTCGCACGCAGCGAGGTATTTGGATGCGTCAATGATTACTTGTGCAAGGGCGACCAAAGTGAAACAAAGAAAACCATATGGCAATGACATGCAATGACATCCCATTACCCCTGGAAGAAGTGCGTTCCTAATGATCAGCTTTGACTCCGTTCACAAGTGTTCGCGGTGGTACATACATACATTCAAAACGAGATCATTAGATCATCCGACACATGAACCCACAATTTGTGGAAACACTTGCGCCATGATCCAATTCTCAGTGTTGAAAGACCCTTGACTCCACCTCACATGCAAACCTTCCAGTTGTTTTTCCAAAGCTTTCTGGCATCTCCCAGTTGTTGCGAAAATAATTCTGTCCATCAAAGGCAAGTCATTCGGAAAAAACAAAAAACTGTCCATCATGCGGCCCATCTGAGACACCCGTCACTCATCACAACATGGCCAACATGGAAGGCGAGCAGGCGAAGCACATGTCTCCGTGTTTGTCCAACAGCTGGTGGCCGGGCTGTCTATGCCCCTGAAATGTGGGCCAACAAAGCAATTTCAAGGGATTGAGATGCATCCACATCATATCGGCCAATGTATTCGAAGGAAAACAAATGTACCCACCAGCTTGCTGAAACGTTTGTCCACTAGCTGCATCTGGAGGACGCTTTCTGAAGTTCAGCCATGGTCAGCCATGTCTTGGAACCTTGATCAGATCTCGGATGTGACTCAGAACATCTCAGAACATGAATCCCCAACAAGGGCAACAGCTTTCGACCAAGGCCAACTTTTCATGTGTTCAGTGGGATGTTGGGACCCCATGACCTGGACTAGGAACCAGCGACCTGTCAGGTTTTAGGATTGTTCTCCATTTTCCATCTTTTTCCCGGATAGCCGAATGATTGTCGGTGCTTGGGTGTCCACATCTTGAGAACTGCAGCTTGATGCATCCTCAACACCAATGGCTTACTTGAGCCTGTCACACAACAGCTGCGTAAAACAAAACTGGATTGAAGTCATGAACTGCCAAGCTGCTTCTATCCTGCAACTTATGGTTTTGTAATACAGTTGTAAGTTGTATGTGATTTTCACGACTGCCGAAGGGTCCAGGATCCGAGACATCTCGGATGCCCTGCTGTCGGCCCCAGTGAAAGACCAGTCTCTGGTTTCGTACGTACGAAATCCTCCGTTCGACCATCCGAAAAGGAGGTACCTGGATCGAAGCTATATATGGGACTCTATGTCCTTTCGATTCCCGTTCTGCTTTCATTTGGGCTTCTGCTTCTATATTTGTTTTAAGCTGTCGGCTTTGGTCGGTGATTTGCGAGGTCGTTAAGTGTGAGATGTGCTACGATTTTGGAGGTGAAACAATAATCTACATAGCAATACACAAGGGTGCTCAAGATGAACGCGTTGCTTTGAGAATTAGACCGAGCCTGAACAAAACTTCTGTGAGAGTTAAACAAATCCCCAACAAGAACAAGCAAGTTAATCACCAACCAAACCAAAAAAGAGTATTAGAGTTATTTATATATAAAAATTGGCATAGTCTGGTAACATATCAGCAAAAAGACTCAGAACCCGACGGTGACCATGTTTTTCCACACCCCATCCACTTAAAACCACACGCACTCTTTCTCCGCATTCACGCTGGTGCCTGCAATTTTGCTAGGCTTCATCACAAATCATTAGGGTCGATCTCCCCTTCCAGCAGATGTTTCACAGGAGCAGGAGCAGGAGGAGGAGCTGGAGCAGGAGCTGGAGCAGCCACGACCTGCTCGCTGGAGTCAAGACACTGAAGACCCGACCCGTGAGCCTGCAAGTATGCACAAAATGACCCTTATTCAAAAACATATATCACTGGAGATTCAACACTCCGCTGGGTCTCAGGTGGGCCAAATCTGGAGAAACAAACCTTCTATCAAACACCTGCAGTGCAGGACGTAACATGGGTAAGCTTAGAACCAAACACGTGGAACACAATGTTCAGGTAACGCTGACTTCGAGTACCGCTTGATGGGTCCTAAGGCAATGACAAACTTGGATTTGCTTAAGGAGCCGGGAAAAACACAAGAAAACAAAATCACCAGAAGAGGATGCATCCATAGGGGAAATAGACAAAGACCTTCTAGCAACACGAGGCAAATGAGGTGTATGATGGTATAGGCGTATGATGGCATGTATCCACGTTCTTGCGACATGGAAGCGGGTCACAACCTGGAGCCCTGGTCCACCATGTAGATGGACCTCCCAGATAATTCCACCAAGGTCTCCTGGTTTTGATCCAACGCCGCATGTTGCATGTTGTATCTACGTGAGGATGGCTACTTCCTCCCCGAGATCGTTCCAGATCTCCGGAATAGCACGTGCAAGTCGGTGACCTGAGGAATTTGGAGGAGACCAAGAGCTTCAGAAAACCACATGAACACTCACTTTACATGAAAACAATGTGTTAATCACTTTCAATCCTTGCCCACAATGTATAGTCAAGTCATTCCATGTTATTGCCCTCCATGGTTGAAACTAAGTCAAACATTTTCTCCATTCCATTTCGCGAAGCTGTGTCCAGTTCGCGGGCACTCGGCTATGTCATGCAGGGGGCTCCCTTCACACGATCACCAAAAAAACTGTGATCCACAAGTGCTCCACACACAGGTCCACAAAAAAGACACCATCTGGTCCATGTCTTTTACAGTGTGATCTTGCCATGCACGAAACGTCCGTGTCCTGCCGCGGAAGCCTCCGGAGCCGCCACCAGAAGAGATGGAGCCACCGGTGGAAGCGCCTCGAGATCGGCGGACAATCGGCGGATCTGAGCTTGATGAACGACATGCATGTCGGAAGGTGCACAAAGGTGCTGCACGAAATGGAGGAACTTGGGATTGATCCCAAAGGATGTCGGAGAAAAGTGCTTCAAGGTAGTTCAAGGTAATCAGAATTGACCGACTATTCCTAAATACAAATATAGAACAAAAGACTTAGGCCCTCCGGTTTCCAATGGTTTGCCTATGTTGGCAAAATTATGTGCAAACACATGTAGTGGCCGCAAAACAGTTATCCAAAATAATGCAAACATTGTATCAAATGACTGAAAGACATTCTGTCTACCCCTGGGCTGTGCACACGTAATATCTGCATTTAAAAGTTTTCGGTCTCATTGTGCAGTTCTTTTGGAACTTTAAGGAATGACTCAACGAATGTTATATAAATGGGTTTAGGCTTGAACTCCTCAACTCCTCAGGGCAGTGGGAAATACACTCCTCACTAACGAGCGGAAACCATCTCCAGTTTGTAGAGGAACATAGTCTTCTCAAAGGCCTTTTTGCACTTCCATGCTGGTTTGCGTTCCTATGTTTGCTGGCATTTCAGAAAGAAACAGTTCTTCCTGCAAATTGGAACTCTGCCAGCAAACTTTGCATGTTCCCAGTTCGAGCTACGACTTCAACGAATCTCTGTAATTTAGACTCGTGATTAATACTACTAAAGACCCCCCTTATGTTTGAAGAGGTTGTTCAAGTCAAATAGGAGGTGGATGGAGGTGGTTTCATTCATCCAGAGTCTACCTTTTCCACTCGCCGTCTTGACGCCGCGACGCCTGCCGCGTCGTCTCCTGCAGCGCCTGTGGTGGAGGCAGCGCTTCAAGCCGCGCCTGGCTTAGAGAAAGAGGTGAACAAGTACCACGGCCGAGCAAGGCTGGTAAGAATCAAGGCTGTAACCATGTTTTGTTTCCGAATCCATTGTGCAGTGTTCGAACACTGGCAGGTTAGTTGTCCAGGAATTGATGTGAAATGATGTGAAACGCTGCAAACATATCGCAAAACAAAATGCCTCACGTAGTGTTCAACGTGTCTCTCAGAGCAGAGTCAGAGTAGAGCCAAAATGAGCTATGGAGTTAGAGTAGAGTTGGAGTAGAGTTAGAATGAGTTAGAGTAGAGTTTGAGTCAGAGTGAGTGTGCGAAACAAGTCTAAGCAACATAAAGTTTGGCACGGGTTTCACATGTATATCTCCTAAGCCCAGTCAGACATTTGCAAACTTGGTATCATCCTGATCTGTGCCCGTGTGACACGCAATGACCTGCGCCACCTCGGTGTCCAGCCCAAGGCTACCTGCGAGGACACGAGATGACGGTGAGGCACACAGCCATGGCCTTCTTCGAAGCAAGAACCAAGTGGCTTGCCGAAGAACCACGGGAAAAGAGCCGTCTGTGTTTGCCACTTTTGTTATGCCTGACATCACGAGGGTGTCTGTTTAAGGTGGGTATCAGTAGCATTGGGAAGATCCATATCTTGTTGTCCATTCCACCAAAAACAAAGTACTGTTTGTTGACGTGCTGACACACTTGATTATACAGCTATAAATATGAAGCTACAACAAACAACGCATTTCATGTATGATTATTTACCCTAAGCTTCCAAGATTGTTAAAACCGTCCTAGCTCGCTCGAATTTCTGGGTGGTGGGCTTGCTTGCAAATTACGACTCAGGTATAAATCAATGATTGTCAGGAGGTTTAGGCACAACCAACTCGCTGGTCTGGATCCAGCGCCTTCGGGTTCGGTGGATTCCGCCAATACCAGGGCCTGTCACACGGGCGAGAACGGGCTCGGGGGGGAGTTCTGGGCTCGGTGTGCATGTGCTAACAAAAACAGGAGCAACAACAACAACCGAAGAAATGTGGAACATATTTATTATCTTTCCCTAAAGCACAGCTATTCCCATATCGAGTGCCAACTGTCATCAGAGTCATCAACTGTCATAATATTGAGTTGTTTCTTTGTCTTGGTGGCATGAGATTCGCAAAAGTGCCTGGCACATGGGGGTTGATAATATGTACTCATTGCCACATCTCCCAGAATATTACGCAGGAAATAAAGGATACCCAAGATTCACGATTCGATAGCCATCAACCGCTGGGTGATCCAGTATGTCGGTCTATCGACCGCCGAAGCTAGGATTCGCCTCAAGCTTCTCGAGCAAAAGCTCCTCTCCACGACCTCACACTCCGCTTTGTTCGGAGAGCCACAACAGCTCAGCCTGTGTCACCCCAAAGCACTTGGAATTCCTTTAGGACTCGACTCGAAACATCCTGCGTGGCACATGAAACCTCTTGATGTCATAGACTTTCCTCCAAGAAGTCCCACTTCAACAACGACTGAAGCAACTCTCGTTCATGGCGAAACACAACGGGGGAAGCACTTCACCATCAGATTCTCCTACTGTGCTCTTCTTGCATTCCAATTGCCACATTGCGCCACAAAACAGCTACATAGGATTTGACCCAGCACATACAAACATAACGCATGTTCATGCCACCCATCAAGTGGTCGGCTGGCCCCTTCACAAAGCCGCTCACATAGCTGCTCAACAACATACATCTTGGATGTCTCAGCACCTCCAACTCTTATGTATCATACCTTGAATGGACCTTGACCAAATTTAATAGTTATATAGGACTAGTGCCTCCAAGGTATCCCACATACAGTCTCTCGTGTCAAGGTCAAACATCACCAAATTTGGCATGTAATTGACTCTGCAGCAAAGACTTGAAGGGAACAAAAGGACACAAACCAAGACTGCACTTTACATGTTGTCCATCCTGCCCCCACATGCACAAGTCTTTACATATGAGCCGTTACTACGAGGTTGTATATAAACATTTATAACACAGATTCTTGATGGTATGTGGCATGATTCTCAAAATTATATATAACATTATACAACTACATACAGTATAGTCTAGTTATATATAGTTATATAACATACCTTACCTCTTCCAATAGAAGCCCAATGTGAACACCTCCTACAACCAATTCTTCCGAAACATCTCTCCGGTCCAACCCCCATGGCCATCCGGCTGGGCCCCCCACTCTGCAAGGCTCTGCGCAGCGTCTCCCAGCCGTGGCGGCCGCCCAAGTGAACGACGCAGGGGCACGAGGCCACGCAGACCTGGGACGTGCCCGAAGGTCACATCGACGGCCCGTTGGGACGAATCCATGGTGCCCTAATTAAGCACCACCACGACGTTTGCTTTATGTCACTCCTGGGGGAGTGTGTTCTTTTTTGTTTCTTGTCCTGTTTTGTGTTCTGGTGTTTAATCGGACATGGACCATTGATTTTGAACAGCAAGGTTGTTTTTTTTGAGCGTCTGGTCGTATTGACAAAAGGCGTCCAAAAGGCATAAAACATGTTTGTGCAGGTGACCGAGCCATGCTGCCAGGAAAAGGACCTGCCATTGCCAGTGTCCAAGTCCTCTCGGCTTCTACATTCTGGGCATTGCAGCAATATCTTTTACAAATGCAAGGCATCCAACAAAGTTTACCAGGTCTTGGCATGTTTTGGCACGGAAAGGGGTTCAGAAAGCAGCTGCATCAGCCGTGGGCAGTATACAAGGTTGGGACAAGGTTAATTTAAGTCATTACCTGATGGACATACCATCAAAAAACCCTCTGTTGAATCTATAGAAGTCATCCTATATACATGGGATATGCGTATAATTGCAATATATATTATATTATGTATAATTGCAAGATATTACAAGCATATGAATCCAATCAAAGATTTCTGGATGAAGGGAAACATTGCCTACGAGGCTGCTCTTGCCTTGACACCTGTGCAAAACCAGAAACCTTTGTGCCCTCGGCCTCCTTCCAAGCTGTGATCCCCGACCCACTTCTTCTCTTCGTTTGCTTCCATCTTGTCCCAACTCCTTTTCTTGTGATGCCTGTCGATGTCACGGATCATCACGTCACCATGCGTCGACCAAAACGAACGAACGCGCGGCAGGGCGCCGAACTCGGAACTCGATCGCCCTTCACTTCTCAGAGCCCATCTCTCTTCTTCGAGTACCAATTCCATTTAAGAAAAACATGAACGATTGATTAAATTACCATCAAGAAAGTCTTCGATGTCGTTGCAAAGCCTCAGATCCAACTTCTCATGATCCAAATCGCAGTTTACTTGTTTTTTTATTGAAAGAAACCAGCTCACGAGAGCATGCAAGTCAAAGTGACCCAACATCTCTCCTAAGTACGTTCTATAACCAACAGCAATGGAGTGGCCACTTGCTCTGTTACCTATGTTCCGCGAACAACAATTCTGCACAACCAGGCCCAGAATGAAAAGCAATCGCTATATGGATTCTATAAATATATGTGCCGTATATATATATATATATGTTATATATACTAATTGTACATTCTGTACCCTGTACTGTAAGTTGGAGTGCACTGAGGCCCCTGACACCGAACATTCAATGAGATCCTGCTCATGTCGAGGAGGATCCTCAACAAAAGCCACCACTTCGTCGTCGTGCGACGAAGTTCGCGTGGCCACAAAGTCATTCAACATCATTCAACCATACTCACTGAGTGACTACCGGTCCGCATTGTTTGTTTATTTTTGCTGTAGGACTTCGAATGAAGCTGTGGCATGCTGGAACCATACTTTTCACTGACTACCCTGAGGACAAATGCACTCTTCTTTGGAAAAACATTCATCGAGTTCCAGTTCGTTGTTGAATCTTTGGTTCAATTTCAGGTGGTGTGCTGGCATGGACAAATTTGGACCATCTGTCTGTGACCAAAAAGAGCAGTCTGCCAGTGAAGAAAAGTTGGTGTAGTGTATTGCTGATTGTTAAATACTGGCTTCCAATCCACTAAAGGATCTCGCATAATGCCACCGAGCATAGGAATTCCAGTTGATCCAGCAAAGCCCACTAACAGGTCTCCAGGGTGCTCATGTTCGGCTCATGACTCCCTCTGAGCCCATCAACAGTTATCATCAATCCTCACATCGATCAACTGAAGATCTTCATCACCGTGATCTCAACCATGAATATCCCCAGACCATCCATGTATGGAATAGATATATATATATATCAGTTATATACCCCAATTAATACCCCCAATGTAGGTAACTATTCCATACATGGATTGTCTTGGATCTGATATGCATTCTCCGATGGACTTCATGGACCAGGACAACGAAACTCCTCCCTCGTCACTTGCATGACCTATTGATGCCTTTTGGCTGATAGAACCATCCCCCACTCGTCCACTCCTTTGCAACCTCGGGAGCAGGCTCGCGCCTGACGAGCTGGTGCATGGTGCCAGGCGGCCCAACGCATCAGCTTCTTGAGAATGCTGGAGGGTCAAACACGTTTGGAACTCTGAGCAATTCACGTTGAACATGGATGATTGTTTTGATGTCCAGGAGGTCCTCTTGTTCCAAACCTCACTTTCTTTTTGCTTCCAACCCAAAACACAGTTCCTCTCAACACGCCCGGAGGGTGTCGCTCGTTCCGTCGCTCAAGTTTAGGGTGATGGAATTGGAAACAGTCCGAACAGTCGACCCCAGTCCAAGTCCTTATTGGGGTTTCTGGAAAATGCAAACCTTCCTATCGAACATTTCTGCTTATATCTTATCTTCATTCTTGAACTCAAAGCCCTGAAAAAGCCTGCTTCAGCAAAGCAGGGGAGCAGGAGGGGGCAGGGGTCAATCTCTATACCTTTGGATTTCCATGCAGTGACTTCTGGTGATTCTATAGTCTTTGGAGATTTCACCACCCAAAGTTTCTCGCGCCACCCTCTCTGCCTGCGAGGCGGCTCCGTCGGCCGCTTGCTCTCCTTATAGCCTCGGTGCGATGCTCAGTCCCCTGACCGATGAGGTTTTTTGGCAAGATTCGGAGCGAGATGGGACGGACCTGAACCAAAAGAGTGGGTCAAACTTGCGGCTCAAACTCCTCGGAGTCAGCCTAGGAGGTTGCCGGACCCTGAGGGTACAAACCCCTGTTATTGAGGGTTCGACCCTTGCTATGGAGGGTCCTAAGGATCCTTAGGGTAGAACACATCATGCGAATCGCTGCGCTGAGCGAAAGGGATTTCGGAGATGTGAGGCCAACTCGCCTCCCTTCCATTGAGTGCCGGGAAACCATCAAAGACCTGTTTCTTTTTTCCCTGGCACTAAACAAGGTTTGTGTAAGTGAAAACTTGAAAAACCCCTAATTTTCATGGGTTCACTGGTAGTTCTGGGCCAATCGATGACGGGTTCGTTTTGTTAGCCTCTCAGGAAGACCACGGTCCCCACATCTATTCCCTAGTTCTGACCCCACAAACAAATATCATGATCAATCACAATCTATCCAACAAAACAAGGTTGAACTATGTGTTGAAACGTCTATATCAATAGATCGATCTATTTACCCTGGGTGTCAAGTCAGTTATTTACAAAATGCTCTGACTCCGTGACCCAAGTCCAGGAATTTCCAGAGCACTTCCGTGAGGAAACGTTTCTTTCACTGGACTGCTAGGGTATCGCTAACCTGCTACGACAAAACACATGTTTTTCAACGATCTTCATCCCAAACAGACCAGCTGACCAACCTCTACAGTCGTATGTGTACCCAGAGTTGCAAGGACCACCACACATCACCACACCTTCCCTTCACGTTCCGCTGGGCTTCCCCACTGACCTTCGTCCGTCTTGTCACGTCTCGGTCACTTCGCCGCAGAGCCCGTCTGGCCGCAGGTCAAATATGGTCGGGTCGTGGATTAAGATCATCCGAAAACCTGGCAGAAAACATGATATCCCGACTCTCACCAGATTTTGTAGTGCGAGCAGCAAAGGTTTGGATTGCTGCTCTCTTCGGATTGCGTCCTCTCTGCTCCGCGTTCTCCAAATCCTCCCAACCTTTGCCGATCCAAACCGTCCAAGCACGACAGCTCAGCGCACGGAAGACCTGCCGCCCACGACAAAACGACAGCACACGGCGGGTGGCCCTCACTGGCCTGTAATCGCTCTTGCGCTTGGATTCCTGGCCCAAACAGCGAAGTCCAGAGCGTAGCTGAGTGATTCTAATTCTAATTCGTGTTACTACTAGTAAGGCACTTGTTACTAGAGGCGATGCACTTGTTCCTAGTAGCTTAGTGATTCTAATTCTTCTTGTTACTACTAGCTTCTTGCTACTACTAGTAAGGCACTTGTTACTAGAAGCGATGCACTTGTTCCTAGTAGCTTAGTGATTCTAA